GACGTGTTGATGCTATGAATATGTAATTCCAAAGCCTTGCCCAAATTTTCGGTGATGAATTGAGATTGACTCCCGATGTCCAAGAAAACGCGACATTCTTTTACTTTACCTGATTGGCCCATTACGCGAATCAAACCGGTGGATAAAAGTACACTAGACGGAATAGCTAAATTACATTTCGAGGTGTCTTCAGGATTATCGGAATCCTCATCTGGTTTATTTTTGATTTCATTTTTGAGAAGGTTATTGTTTGTTTCTGCGTGCAAAAGCGTGTGGTGCTTCTTATGACATTGTTTACAACGCCTTGATATGTAACAATTTTTCGCGACATGATTACTTCTTAAACAATTGAAGCAACGATTCATTTTCTTTATTTGTTCCACTCTATCGTTGGGCGTTAAACTTAAAAAAGTTGTACAATTGAAGATGTTGTGCATTTGGGAACATATAAAACACGGGATTGATTGATTATTGCTTACTTGTACCTTCTTTGTGTTTGATTTTAATGATTTACCCAAATATTTGGTTTTGGATTCACATTGTTTACCGATATCCAATAATGAGCTACAATCTTTCAAATTATCTGTAGGACTTTTTATTGGAACTAACGCGGTGTCTGATTTTGGATTGGATGTGCTATCTATCTTAGTTTGGGACATGCCCACAGAGTTGCAAGAATTATTATCCGGATGATTTTTCGGTTTGCTTGATATTGAATTTGATAATAATTTGTGAGAATTCGGTATTAACTTATGCGTTTCTGAAATAATGACTTTTTTGTTATCGATAGTTTTATACTTAATGAATAGTGCAGGGGTAAACCGCACTTTAACCGGAGCATTGGTAGTCTTATGAAGTTTAATGGGTTCTCCATTTAGCATGTTGTCCACTTTTATGGGTTTTAGATTTTCACAACGTTTTTCGAGATGAGCATGGTTGGTATTTACGTTAAAAGCATTCGGGAAAGGAAGATGATACAACAAATCGGCTTTTTTGATTAGAGCAGTATATAATTCCGATATTTCATGGATATAGGTTTGCACGGGTCCGAGATTATAAACTGCGGGTTTGTTAGATTCTTCGCTACTCGTGTCATCTAAAAATACCACGATTTCCGATTTATGTTCAACTATAAGATTTTGTACGTTAGATTGTACCCGTTTCAAATCTTCCAACCTGCATCTTAACTCGCCTATTTTTTGGTGGTTTGTAACTTCCGAGATGAACTCCGCATGTGAATGTACATCGTTAACAAGAACGATAAATTTCCAGAGAGATTCGTTATTCGACATCGTCAGTACGAGAATAATGAACTACGCAAAATGGACAAAACTAAAGCCTACCTGAGTTTCTTGATGAATGACCCTCGATGATTTGCACTGCACTCGCGGCCGTTACCGATTTTTGAATACTTGATGATTTAGGTGGAATATTGAATTCCAAGCGATGATGATTTATCGAACTACACTTATCACTTATCACTGTTACTGATTTTCTGTCGCTGATCCGGCTCGAAGGACCATGTTAAGTTTGATGGATGATGAATAAGAGCAGCGGACAGTCGTTTTATAGTTTTATTAAATAAATAACAAGTGTGTTCTAGAGCGAGTATGATATTATGACCGTTAGGTCCAGAGATTGAATATAAGGACTATGTTAACCGCTTGAAGAGTGCTTGAAGAGTCAATGATGAATAGTGAATGAAATTCCCTGTGTTTCAAGGTGGTGGTGGCCCTGGCTCCCACCCTTACGGGTGGAGAGGGGTGAAACAGGTCCCCGCCAGAGGCACTAACAATGGGTATGGCGTAATTTTTTTCTTAATATGTATACTTAGTATTCTTTGAACAACACGATAGGTACTCAAAAACATATTTTTAATTTCTTGTAAAGAAATAAATATTTTGCAGTTAAGTTCCGCCCTCTTGGTTCAAGGTGAATAAAAAAAATCATCACAATTGAGATAGGGCGGGTGGGCGGGGCTTATGTTTTGCCTTTTTTCTTAATATACATAGTCGTCTCTTCAGAACAACAAACTTAAAATGGTAAATTTGTATAAGGAAATATTGATTTTGCAATTAGACTCCGCTCTATAATAGCAAAATCCATATTTCCTTGCAAAAATGTAACCATTTTTTAACCATGTTTTAAGTTTCTTGTTGTGGAAAGGTAGCTATGTTATATAAAAAAAAAGACAAAATATTAGCCCTCGGCAAATGAACACATATACGAGCACTTTTTGTATTAAAACCATTTTTCGAGTAAAGAATTTAGGGAGAAGTTACTTTTTTAAAACACGTCCTTTCTGGGATAAGTAGTATTACTTAGCTAGTTATACGTGTTATAAAAACTGTATTTTATATAATTTTTATTATTATTATAAATATGCTTATTAGTTTTATTAATTAACAAAGCATTAACAATATTAAGTACAATGAATTTTTAATCATGTGTATTGAATTCTGGATCCTGACTAGAGTAAAAATATTATAGTTCCCCAGTTCTAATTCGGTTTTTTGATAGTACCGCATTGCGTAAAAGTTAACTTCTTTAACAATAGATTACTTAATCGTTAGTTTTTTGCTAAAAACTCTGCTAAGCAATATGTCATTAATTTTCCTCTGATATTCCTGTTAAAATTATTCGACGTATTTTTCAATAATTTGTGGCATATTTTGATTTTAATAAAGACATTATGAATCAAAAAACTTGAAAAGAAAACACACAATGGAGCTTTTTTACGATATTTCTCATCCTTATTTTTTTATAATTGAACTGGTCTTGATATTTCCATACACAACTTTATCGTTTTAAACATGTTTTAAGTTTCTTGTTGTGAAAAAATGACTACACATATTAAGAAAAAAAGGCAAAATGTAAGCCTTTATTTAGTCCACAATCAATTATTATTATTATTATTATTATTATCGTTTCGTACCTTTCGTCTAAAATCGATCGGTGCAAAGGGCTATCCTCGCCATTCAGAGCCTTCGTGAAATTTTTCAAATACGTAAATTCCTCGTCAAAATAATTGGGATAAACCAGGTACGATGTCATTCTGTCTTCTTGTCTTTTTCGTAAAACAGGAACAGTTTTCTGGAAACAATAACTCTTTAGTAGATAAGTCGTACACAAAGCTCAAGTTCCGTAAACGAAAATAAAAAAAATTGTTTGCAAGTTTCATGTGGCCTGACAGTAAATTAAAAAAAAATAACAGATGACCTGATGTAGCATTGAATATTTATTCATAAATGAAATTTTAAAATCCTAAGAAATCTACTCACCAGAATATCGATTTCAATACACAACGTGAAGGCCGAGAACTGAAGGCACACACTGAATTTGGCTACTAATTTCACAACCCTTTTATACAAATTCTGAAATTGCCTGTTTTATGAGGGGGCATTGTTTTGAAAACGTTTGTAGGTACTCAAAGTACGGATCGCCGATTAAAGTGTCGTTAGAGACCATTTGAAAATATTTATTTTCAAGATGCAGTGCTAAATTTTCTTCGGAACTATATCCGTTAGTCATTAAAATGCTATTGACGAGATTAGGAAGATGTTTTCAAACGAATTGTTCTCTCCTCTTCGTTTTTTTCCAGTAATGTTGAGTTCGATTCTTGAACAAAAAAGTATTACATTAAATAGCAGCTCTTCTTTACCTTTGGTTGACACGCGTCTTTTGGAAAGTACCAGAAAGAATTCGATCTCAGAAACAATAAAATTTAATTAAAAAAAAAAATAAATAAATAGGAATTATCAACCGAAACCGAAACAACCAACACCTATGTACACCCATACACGTTAAAAAGGAAGCATGGCATTAGACCTTAATTGGAAGAGAAAAACAATAACATGAGGGTAGTATATTTAATCCAACCGGTGTTTTGTGGGTTGCCTAGAAGACCTATCATTGATTTATTTATAAGAACCCTCACGATCTTTATATAGTAGGGTTCGTCATGAAAATCTTGTGGTATGTCTATTGGTATTCGATGCAGAAGAATAAAAATTCCCTGAACTTTTTTCGTTAGGTCATGTTTTATTAAATTAAAGTTTAAAAAATATGGCAGAAATATAAACATTGTCGCCGATACTTTCATTTTTCAGTAGCAATGATCAAGTTAACGGTATCCATTTCTTAGTAAGCGTAAATCTTTACGCTATTTAAAACAGTTATTCGCCTTTTTGCAAGTGTTTATTTCATATGTAAGGAATAAACACTAAAATTTTACTTAAACATTCGCCCACTCTTCTTAGAAATGGAAATTTCGACCTTTGTGAACAGCCTATCTTCCAACTTCTTTTTTCACTTTTCTAAGATTACTAAAAGGGTTGGTAAAAGACAACAACCTTGCTCTAGTGCTTTGATGGGTTTAGCTCTTCTGAAACATTTTTCCGGCCTTAAATTGAATGATTTTACTTTTACTAAGTACTTCCAAACGCTTATTAATAAGAACGTTACTATACACCTTCTCCAGGTCCATGAAGAGTTACAAAAAAAAATAAAAATTCTTAAAATTTGGTGCAAAGTAACAACGTGGATGATCTAAGTAAAATTATACTTATTTTGTTGTACGTCAGGTAGTTTTCACATACTACCTTGGTAAATTTAGAACGAAAGATGCGTAAAAATATCATCCCCCGACAAGCTACAATTCACTCCATTTCCATTATTTCGCTATGAAAATCTGTATCATCACCATCATTTTCAAATTCAGATTCTGAATCAGATTCACGTAGCGAAATAATGAAAGGAGTTATAGATTCTTACGAAAGATTTCCCATATTTTTCCCAATCTGCCAAAATAAGTTTTTCACAATGTTTACAAAAATTTTGCCACATGCTTGGAGTACATTTAGAAAGCGCCTCAAGCCATAAATTCTCCACCCTATTTTTTAATGAAGGTTGAGAATTTATATGCTTGTTGTAATACAAAAGTCGAGTCAGTTTTACACAGTATTGCACAAAATTTCAAATACATCATCAGAAATCCACAATCCTAAAAAACAACTCTTTATTTTGAAACTACAGACACACAATATTTAATAACAATGTTGCATATATTTTACTCCACTACTTCTTCTCCTCCCCCTTGGCGCCGTCCCCCCAATACGGCTTCCCCGTCTTCGCAATCGGTATCTCCTTTCCCACCTCCTCCTCGACGACCCTCGGCGCCGAAACCGTCAAAACCCCATCCGAAGACAACCTCGACTCCACTTTGGTCATGTCGTGTCCCTTCGGCAACACAAACCTCCTCACGAAGTGTCTAGACACGTACCCATCGCCGTCTTGCTTCTCTTCGTGTTTGCCCTCCACAGTTATCACGTTATCTTCAGTCACTCTAATTTTCAAATTCTCAGGTTTGAAGTTCTGCACGTCCAAGTCCGCCTGGAACTTCTCTTTGCCAAAGCGGACCGAAGACTCGACGTCGTGGTGAGCCAGGACGGTCCTCCACGGTTTCAATAAACGCAAGAAGTAGCGAAAATCGTGGGAAAGCGCGGGGTAGAACATGTTCGTTGCTTTTTCGCTCAGCGGTGATGTTTTGGACTGAGGAGTAGCGGAATCGGAGCCGTATTTATAGCGGCGCGGAAAATTCGGGAAATTTCTAGAAGGTTCTATAAGGTTCTAGAGGGTGATGAAGGAATTTTCTGGTTTAATGATAATAGTGGAAGTTGTTTTAGGGTTGGTTGGGGGTTTGGTGTGTTGTTTCAGTCGCGTTACTTGTCAAAATATAGAATGATTCGATTTTTTTTAGTGTTGTGCAATATTACAAACTTACCGTATGTTTGTGTTTTGTTGGTTGCATATCTTATACTTAGATACCTTGAAATCAAAACAAGTTCTGCTAGTGTACTGAAAATTTTATTAAATTAAATACAAATACACATACATTACAAAACTCAGTCTTTAATTACTACAAATATCAAAAAAAATAATTATTACAAAATAGCTGCGAAAAAATTACTTCTTTTCTTCTTCTTCCTTCTTCTCCACCGCCTTGGTCGGCTGCCCCGTCTGGATAACCGGAACGCTCCTTTCCTCCTCCACAGCAGCCTTCACCCTGGGCGCCGTTATCGTAAGCACCCCGTCCGACGACAACTTCGACTCGATTTTATCCGCGTCGTGGTCCTCGGGCAAAACGTACTTCCTCACGAAATGCCGCGAAATAAACCCGTGCTCGTCTTCCTTCTCCTCGTGTTTTCCCTCCACCGTGATGACGTTTTTGGCCACCTTCACGCTGATTTCCTCCGGCTTGAACTGCTGCACGTCCAGATTCACCTGGAATTTGTCCTTGTCGCGGCAGACGGTCGATCCGGAATCCTTTTGGGAAGCGGCAGAACGCCAAGGTCTCAGATATCCCGCAGGACAACGCATAAGGTGGCGGAGTTCGCGAGGAATCAGCGGCGCGAAGAAATCCTCCTGGTCCAGACCCAAGCCGAAATGTTGATCCAGCATTCTGGTCGGGCGGGAGTGTTCGAAGGGGTCGTTCAACAGAATTATGGACATTTTCGCTGGTTTAGCGCTGATTTGTACGTCGTGGTTTTTTTAAAGTTGGCACCTTGTGCTGTATCGACGAATTGAATCGCAGGACTGATGTCGGGCTTGATCGGCGGCTGGTTTTATAAGGAGACGCGTTTCGAGAATATTCGGAAATTAGCGCGACGGATAAATCTAGAATATTGGAGAGGGTCAGGAATGTTTGGGTTGCGTGGTGATGAATCAGTTCATAGAATGTTCTCTCTAGAACATTCGGGAAGTCGCTCTTACGTGATGTTTTCTTTTTTAATTTTACAAATAGTTTTTCGTTTAAAATAAAGCTCTTAACCAGTGATTAAAGAAAAAATAAACAAACACGAAATTACTTTTATAATTTCAATACTAACCCGGGGATATGTGAATAAAATTGCTGGAAGTTTGTAAAATTATAACAAAATTTTTTCAGTTTTTCTGTTTCTCCTATTTATTTTTTTGTGTTTAAGGATTTGCTTAACTTATGTAAATAATTCAACAGGAAATACATTACAATTTGTTGTTAAAACCTCTGCATATTTTAATTTGTCCTGAATTTTTATAAAATTACATTACAAAATGAATTAAAAAAGGTTTAGGAATCTAAAATTTGTTCCATGTAGATTTTACAACTGTAAAATGTGTTTTAAATTAAAGAAATTGGGATTTGGTATTACATTTTTACCAGAATAGAATGACTAATCGAGCTACTTTTTTAAATTTAGATTTATTTTTGAATACACAAGAGCAATTACACGTTCTACTACAAAGAAATATCTAATACGTATAATACTGTAATTATTTTATACAGTATGTTCCCGGATTGAGTTCACAAGAGGAAAAAAACTGTATTTTCAATTTTACAAAATAATGACACAGGAATAAAATTTTTTGCTTAATTCAAAATAAATAAATTTATAATTAGAACTTTAATATTATCAGGCTGTGTTCTTAAAATCGAAAAAACCCAAAAGTAGCGTAGGACTTTTTAATTTTTAATTTTACAAAAAAATGTCAGTGGAATATAAATTGTTCCTTAATTCAAACCAATGTCAACTATTCGATTAACCCACCACTCCTTTCAGCACGTAGTTCAATTCTAACCCGTAATTGTTTCCTCTTGCGAAAATTTTAATAATATTCACAGTTTGATAATGTATCATAATAATAGGTGCATAAGATAAGACCAACTTTGGCGAATGATGTACACTGTAATGAAATACAGGGTGGGTGGGCGGGGCTAGTATTTGCTAAGATAAGACTGAACAATATTAAAAGTAGTTATTAGAATGAAAAAGGGGTGGCAGTCGGGCAACTGCTTGCTTATAAGACACTGTGGAAAAAAATAAACTGAGCTTCACCCACCCACCCCCCCTATTCCGCTTTGATTGCTCATTTTATTGGCTCTGAGACGGAGTTTGGAATGATAGTGCTTGCTTATAAAAGATTCTCTATTTTTTTCTTCTGAAATAAGAAATAAATCTTATAACAAATAGTAAATATAACAAAAAAATCACGGTTAGCGCTTTTTTTTTCTTTTTTTAACATTCTAGGTCCTATTAATTCCCATTCCCAATCTACAGAATTATTAATATAATATATTTAACCTCGCCCGCCCAACTCTCCTTCTTTTCAGTAATTGATTATCTGGTTGAATGAGAGGTGGATCTTATACTAAATAGAAATAAAATCGTTAGAATGAGAATAGCGCGGGTGGGTGGAGCTAGTACCTGCTACAACAAGAGTGATTTTGGCAGATGACATATCGTCTGAGAAAATAATGGGCGGGTGGGCGGGGCTAATACTTGCTAAGATAAGAGTGATTTTGGCAGATGACATACCATCTGGAAAAACAATGGGCGGATGGGCGGGGCTAGTATTTGCTAAGATAAGACTGAACAATATTATGAGTAGTCACTAGAATGAATAAAGGGCGGGAGTTGGGCAACTGCTTCCTTATAAGACGCTTTGAAAAAAAAGTAAACTGAGCTCCACCCACCCACTCCTATTCCGCTTTGATCCTTCATTTTATTGGCTATGAAACCGAGTTTGGAATATTAGTGCTTGCTTATAAAAGATTCTGTAGGAAAAATTAATATAAGCCCTGCCCACCCACCCAGTTTTTATTTTTATCTTCTGAAATAAGAAATAAATCTGATAGCAAATAATAAATGTAATAAAAATTAAGATTAACGCTTTTTTTTTCTTTTTTCAGCAACCTAAGTTCTATTAATTCCCATTCCAACTCTACAGAATTAATAATATAACATATTTAACCCCGCCCACCCACCCCTCCTTCTTTCCAGTAATTCATTATCTGGTTGAATGAAAGTTGGATATTATTTTGAATCGAAATAAAATCGTTACCTGCCACGATAAGAGTGATTTTGGCAGATGGAATACCTTCTGAGAAAATAATGGGTTGGTGGACGGGGCTAGTTCTTGCTAAGATAAGACTTTTTGGCAAATGGTATATAAACCTCGTAAGAAACTAGTGAGCGGATGGGCAGGGCTAGTATTTGCTTAGATAAAATTGAACATTATTAGGAGTAGTCACTAGAATTAAAAGGTCTGGGTTACTTGGCCACCTTCTTTCTCCATTTCACTGTCTTATTTTATTTACTGTAAAATGGGAATTGAATAGTTTGGACAAGCGGTAGAATACAAGATTTAAAAAAAATCAGGTTAGGTCAAACCAGCCTCGGTCATGCTACATCAAGTTTTTAAAAAAATTTAAATTCAAGGTTGTCAAACAAGATTTAAGTTTTATCTATATAACCCACTACCGACTGTAAGATAAATATTATATTTATTCTTAATATTTTTGTGTTAAAATTTAAGAAATAAGTTGAAAATGTACATGGAACAAAAAAAAATCTTAAAATCCATGAAAATGTTATATGGAACAAATTAGCATTGAGCTGATTTATTTTCGTTTTGATTAATACATAATTTAAAAGAAAACCAATTTGTTTAATAATAAGGAAATAATTTACTTATACTGAAATAGTGCATTTTACAACGATTTTAATTTATAACTTTTTAAAATGAAAATAATTATGTCATTACATTTTACACCGACTAAAGGCAAAACCTTCCAGCCGAATCTCGAGCGTTCTGCCCTTCTAGAACCTTCCACCACGTCCACATAAAACCTCGAGCGCCGTGACGCTCCCGTCAGACTTGAACAGACTCGAGCGCAGGCAACAAGCCAAAGGATCTAAAGCGAGCTCTCAGTTCGAAAAATCTCAACAAAAATGGCTTTGTGGCTGTGGAACAACCCTTTCCAATTCTCCCGGCCGTCTCGCCTCCTCGACCAACACTTCGGCGCCGTTCTCGAACCGGAAGATTTACTGTCGCCTCTGACCCCTCGAGAGTTCGGCGGTTTGCTACGTTTTCCTTCTGAATATCTGCGTCCGTGGAGGTCTGCACTTTCCCAACAGGACGTCGGCTCCACCGTGCGCTTCGACAAGGACAAATTCGAGGCGAATTTGGACGTGCAGCAGTTCAAGCCGGAGGAGATCACGGTGAAGGTGAGCGACGACACGGTCACTATCGGGGGAAAACATGAGGAGAAGCAGGACGAGCATGGGTACATTTCGAGGCATTTCGTGAGGAGGTATGTGGTGCCGAAGGGGCATGATATCAGTAAAGTGGAGTCCACGTTGTCTTCGGATGGAGTGCTTACCATCAGGGCACCCAAGATTGATAGTGGGAAAGAGGAGGAACGGAGTATTCGTGTGGTGCAGTCGGGGCAGCCGTCCAAGGCCGTGGAGCAGAAGACCGAAAAGAAAGGAGAGAAATAATTTAACTTAAAATGTATTAATTACTGATGACTGATTGTGATATTGTTAATGTGTTTTGTGTTTTCTGTTCAAAGTAAATAAAACCACCCCAAAATAAAAGACGTTTTTATTATTTGCATTAAGACATTGTTATTAACTTTCTGTTCAGCGAATTAAATTTACTAAAATCCTACAAAACTCAAAATTCAGTTCTCTTCCTTTTCCTCTTTCTTGACATTCTTCGACGGTTTTCCTCTCTTTGGTCGTTCTTTTCCACATCGATCCTTGGGGCAATGTTCGACAAAACCCAAAATTCGGGAAATTTCTAGAAGCTTCTATAAGGTTCTAGAGGGTGATGAAAGAATTTTCTGGTTTAAATATGGCCTAAGTTGTTTTGGGGGTGGTTGGAGGTTTAGTGTGTTGTTTCAGTGGCGTTCCTTTTTAAAATACGAAATGATTCAATCTTTTCCAGTGTTGGGAAAAACAATCCCCTTCCGTACTGTTGTGTTTTATTGGTTGCATATCTTATGAAGGAATTTTTTTTTCATAAAATAAAAAGAACCGAAAAAACTGGAAAGATACTCACTGTTTGAGTTTCGAAACTCCGTAATTCAAAAAATAATCCGCTTTTGGAATTTTTCTTTGATACTTTTTAAGTACCTTGTCTTAAATAAAATCAAAAGAAATTCTGGTGTAGTGAAAAAATTTATTAAATTAAATACAAATAGAAAAGGCTAACGTAACTAAACTACACACACATTTACATTACAAAACTCAGTCTTTAATTACCACAAATACTAAAAAAAAAAAAAAATAATACAAAATAACTGCGAAAAAATTACTTCTTTTCTTCTTCTTCCTTCTTCTCCACCGCCTTGGTCGGCTGCCCCGTCTGGATAACCGGAACGCTCCTTTCCTCCTCCACAGCAGCCTTAACCCTGGGCGCCGTTATCGTGAGCACCCCGTCCGACGACAACTTCGACTCGATTTTATCCGCGTCGTGGTCCTCGGGCAAAACGTACTTCCTCACGAAATGCCGCGAAATAAACCCGTGCTCGTCTTCCTTCTCCTCGTGTTTTCCCTCCACCGTGACGACGTTTTTGGCCACCTTCACGCTGATTTCCTCCGGCTTGAACTGCTGCACGTCCAGATTCACCTGGAATTTGTCCTTGTCGCGGCAGACGGTCGATCCGGAATCCTTTTGGGAAGCGGCAGAACGCCAAGGTCTCAGATATCCCGCAGGACAACGCATGAGGTGGCGGAGTTCGCGAGGAATCAGCGGCGCGAAGAAATCCTCCGGGTCCAGACCCAAGCCGAAATGTTGATTCAGCATTCTGGTCGGGCGGGAGTGTTCGAAGGGGTCGTTCAACAGAATTATGGACATTTTCGCTGGTTTAGCGCTGATTTGTACGTCGTGGTTTTTTTAAAGTTGGCACCTTGTGCTGTATCGACGAATTGAATCGCAGGACTGATGTCGGGCTTGATCGGCGGCTGGTTTTATAAGGAGACGCGTTTCGAGAATATTCGGAAATTAGCGCGACGGATAAATCTAGAATATTGGAGAGGGTCAGGAATGTTTGGGTTGCGTGGTGATGAATCAGTTCATAGAATGTTCTCTCTAGAACATTCGGGAAGTCGCTCTTACGTGATGTTTTCTTTTTTAATTTTACAAATAGTTTTTCGTTTAAAATAAAGCTCTTAACCAGTGATTAAAGAAAAAATAAACAAACACGAAATTACTTTTATAATTTCAATACTAACCCGGGGATATGTGAATAAAATTGCTGGAAGTTTGTAAAATTATAACAAAATTTTTTCAGTTTTTCTGTTTCTCCTATTTATTTTTTTGTGTTTAAGGATTTGCTTAACTTATGTAAATAATTCAACAGGAAATACATTACAATTTGTTGTTAAAACCTCTGCATATTTTAATTTGTCCTGAATTTTTATAAAATTACATTACAAAATGAATTAAAAAAGGTTTAGGAATCTAAAATTTGTTCCATGTAGATTTTACAACTGTAAAATGTGTTTTAAATTAAAGAAATTGGGATTTGGTATTACATTTTTACCAGAATAGAATGACTAATCGAGCTACTTTTTTAAATTTAGATTTATTTTTGAATACACAAGAGCAATTACACGTTCTACTACAAAGAAATATCTAATATGTATAATACTGTAATTATTTTATACAGTATGTTCCCGGATTGAGTTCACAAGAGGAAAAAAACTGTATTTTCAATTTTACAAAATAATGACACAGGAATAAAATTTTTTGCTTAATTCAAAATAAATAAATTTATAATTAGAACTTTAATATTATCAGGCTGTGTTCTTAAAATCGAAAAAACCCAAAAGTAGCGTAGGACTTTTTAATTTTTAATTTTACAAAAAAATGTCAGTGGAATATAAATTGTTCCTTAATTCAAACCAATGTCTACTATTCGATTAACCCACCACTCCTTTCAGCACGTAGTTCAATTCTAACCCGTAATTGTTTCCTCTTGCGAAAATTTTAATAATATTCACAGTTTGATAATGTATCATAATAATAGGTGCATAAGATAAGACCAACTTTGGCGAATGATGTACACTGTAATGAAATAGAGGGTGGGTGGGCGGGGCTAGTATTTGCTAAGATAAGACTGAACAATATTAAAAGTAGTTATTAGAATGAAAAAGGGGTGGCAGTCGGGCAACTGCTTGCTTATAAGACACTGTGGAAAAAAATAAACTGAGCTTCACCCACCCACCCCCCCTATTCCGCTTTGATTGCTCATTTTATTGGCTCTGAGACGGAGTTTGGAATGATAGTGCTTGCTTATAAAAGATTCTGTAGGAAAAATCAATATTAGCCCCGCCTACCCACCCATTCTCTATTTTTTTCTTCTGAAATAAGAAATAAATCTTATAACAAATAGTAAATATAACAAAAAAATCACGGTTAGCGCTTTTTTTTTCTTTTTTTAACATTCTAGGTCCTATTAATTCCCATTCCCAATCTACAGAATTATTAATATAATATATTTAACCTCGCCCGCCCAACTCTCCTTCTTTTCAGTAATTGATTATCTGGTTGAATGAGAGGTGGATCTTATACTAAATAGAAATAAAATCGTTAGAATGAGAATAGCGCGGGTGGGTGGAGCTAGTACCTGCTACAACAAGAGTGATTTTGGCAGATGACATATCGTCTGAGAAAATAATGGGCGGGTGGGCGGGGCTAATACTTGCTAAGATAAGAGTGATTTTGGCAGATGACATACCATCTGGAAAAATAATGGGCGGATGGGTGGGGCTAGTATTTGCTAAGATAAGACTGAACAATATTATGAGTAGTGACTAGAATGAAGAAAGGGAAAGAGCTGGGCAACTGCTTCCTTATAAGACGCTTTGAAAAAAAAGTAAACTGAGCTCCACCCACCCACCCCTATTCCGCTTTCATCCTTCATTTTATTGGCTCTGAAACCGAGTTTAGAACATTAGTGTTTGCTTATAAAAGATTCTGTAGGAAAAATTAATATTAGCCCCGCCCACCCACCCAGTGTTTATTTTTATCTTCTGAAATAAGAAATAAATCTAATAGCAAATAATAAATGTAATAAAAATAACGATTAACGCTTTTTTTTCTTTTTTCAACATCCTAAGTTCTATTAATTCCCATTCCAACTCTACAGAATTAATAATATAATATATTTAACCCCGCCCACCCACCCCTCCTTCTTTCCAGTAATTCATTATCTGGTTGAATGAAAGTTGGATCTTACATTGAATAGAAATAAAATGGTTACCTGCCACGATAAGAGTCATTTTGGCAGATGGAATACCTTCTAAGAAAATAATGGGTGGGCGGGCGGGGCTAGTTCTTGCTAAGATAAGACTTTTTGGCAAATGACATATATACCCCGGAAGAAACATTGAACATTATTAGGAGTAGTCACTAGAATTAAAAGGTGTGGGCTACATCGCCCACCTTCTTTCTCCATTTCATTGTCTTATTTTATTTACTGCAGTATGGGAATTGAATTCTGTTTTGACAAGCGGTTGAGTATAAGATTTAAAAAAAATCAGGTTAGGTCAAACCAGCCTAGATCACGCTACATAAAGTTTTTTAAAAATTTTAGATTCAAGGTTGTCAAACAAGATTTAATTTTTATCTATATAACCCGTTACCCACTGTAAGATAAAAATTATAAAACCGACAAATTTTTATTAAAATTATATTTATTCTTAATATTTTTGTATTAAAATTTAAGAAATAAGTTGAAAATGTACATGGAACAAAAAATCTTAAAATCCATGAAAATGTTATATGGAACAAATTAGCACTGAGCTGATTTATTTTCGTTTTGATTAATACATAATTAAAAACCAATTTGTTTACTAATAAGGAAATAATTTGCTGACACTTAAATAGTGCGCCATATGCATTTCACAACGATTTTAATTTACTGCTTTTTAAAATGAAAATTATGTCATTACATTTTACACCGACTGAACGCAAAACCTTCCAGTCGAATCTCGAGCGTTCGCTCCCTCTAGAACGTTCCACCACGTCCACATAAAACCTCGAGCGCCGTGACGCTCCCGTCAGACTTGAACAGACTCAAGCGCAGGCAACAAGCCAAAGGACCTCAAGCGAGCCCTCAGTTCGAAAAATCTCAACAAAAATGGCTTTGTGGATGTGGAACAATCCTTTCCAATTCTCCCGGCCGTCTCGCCTTCTCGACCAACACTTCGGCAGCGTTCTCGAACCGGAAGATTTACTGTCGCCTCTGACCCCTCGAGAGTTCGGCGGTTTGCTACGTTTTCCTTCTGAATATCTGCGTCCGTGGAGGTCTGCACTTTCCCAACAGGACGTCGGCTCCACCGTGCGCTACGACAAGGACAAATTCGAGGCGAATTTGGACGTGCAGCAGTTCAAGCCGGAGGAGATCACGGTGAAGGTGAGCGACGACACGGTCACTATCGAAGGAAAACATGAGGAGAAGCAGGACGAGCATGGGTATATTTCGAGGCATTTCGTGAGGAGGTATGTGGTGCCGAAAGGGCATGATATCAGGAAAGTGGAGTCCACGTTGTCTTCGGATGGAGTGCTTACCATCAGGGCACCCAAGATTGATAGTGGGAAAGAGGAGGAACGGAGTATTCCGGTTGTCCAGACGGGGCAGCCTTCCAAGGCCGTGGAGCAGAAGACCGAGAAGAAAAAAGAGAAATAATTTAACTTAAAATGTATTAATTTCTGATGACTGATTGTGATATTGTAATTGTGTTTTGTGTTTTCTGTTCAAAATAAATAAAACTAGACCAAAATAAAGTCGTTTTTATTATTTGCATTAAGGCATTGTTGTTAGAGTTGTATTCAGGGAATTAAATTTATTAAAATCTTACAAAACTCAAACTACAGTTCTCTTCCTTTTCCTCTTTTTTGACATTCTTCGACGGTTTTCCTCCCTTTCTTAGTCCTTTTCCACATCGATCCTTGGAGCAATGATCGACAAAACTCAAAATTCGGGAAATTTCCAGAAGGTTCTATACGGTTCTAGAGGGTGATAAAGGAATTTTGTGGTTTAAATATGGTCTAAGTTGTTTTGGTGGTGGTTGGGGGTTTAGTGTGTTGTTTCACTCGCGTTCCTTTTTAAAATACGAAATGATTCGATCTTTTCCAGTGTTGTGAAATACAATATCTTACCGTACAGTTGTGTTTTATTGGTTGCATATCTTAGGAAGGATTTTTTTCATAAAAGAAAAATGACCAGAAAAACTGGAAAGATACACATTGTATTCACAAAATAATCCGCTTTTGGCTTCTTTTAATTATACTTTGACACTTTTCACGTACTTTTTCTTAAATAAAATCAAAAGAAGTTCTGGTGTAGCGAAAAAATTTATTAAATTAAATACAAATAGAAAAAGCTAACGTAACAAACTACACATACATTTACATTACAAAACTCAGTCTTTAATTACCACAAATACTAAAAAAAAAAGAATTAATACAAAATAACTGCGAAAAAATTACTTCTTTTCTTCTTCTTCCTTCTTCTCCACCGCCTTGGTCGGTTGCCCCGTTTGGATAACCGGAACGCTCCTTCCCTCCTCCACAGCAGCCTTAACCCTGGGCGCCGTTATCGTGAGCACCCCATCCGTCGACAACTTCGACTCGATTTTATCCGCGTCGTGGTCCTCGGGCAAAATGTACTTCCTCACGAAATGCCGCGAAATAAACCCGTGCTCGTCTTCCTTCTCCTCGTGTTTGCCCTCCACCGTGACGACGTTTTTGGTCACCTTCACGCTGATTTCCTCCGGCTTGAACTGCTGCACGTCCAGATTCACCTGGAATTTGTCCTTGTCGCGGCAGACGGTCGATCCGGAATCCCTTTGGGAAGCGGCAGAACGCCAAGGTCTCAGATATCCCGCAGGACAACGCATGAGGTGGCGAAGTTCGCGAGGAATCAGCGGCGCGAAGAAATCCTCCGGGTCCAGACCCAACCCGAAATGTTGATCCAGCATTCTGGTCGGGCGGGAGTGTTCGAAGGGGTCGTTCAACAGAATTATGGACATTTTCGCTGGTTTAGCACTGATTTGTACGTTGTGGTTTTTTTGAAGTTGGCACCTTGTACTGTATCCACCAATTGAATCGCAGGACTGAAGTCGGGTTTGATCGGCGGCTGGTTTTATAGGGAGACGCGTTTCGAGAATGTTCGGAAATTGACGCGAAGGATGAATCTAGAATATTGGAGAAGGTCAGGAATGTTTGGGTTGCGTGGTGATGAATCAGTTCATAGAATGTTCTCTCTAGAACATTCGGGAAGTCGCTGTCTACTTGATGTTTTCTGATTTAATTTTACTAATAGTTTTTCGTTTAAAATAAAGCTCTGAACTAGTGATTGAAGAAGAAATAAACAAACACGACATTACTTTTATAATTTCAATATTAACCCGGGGATATGTGAACAAAATTTCTGGAAGTTTGTAAACTTATAACAAAATTTTTTCAGTTTTTCTGTTTCTGCTATTTATTTTTTTGTTTAAGGATTTGGTTAACTTATGTAAATAATTCAACAGGAAATACATTTCAATTTGTTCTTAAATCCTCTGCGTATTTTAATTTGTCCTGAATTTTTACAAAATTATACCTATTACAAAATGAATTGAAAAAGGTTTAGGAATCTAAAATTTGTTCCATATACATTTTACAACTGCAAAATGCGTTTTAAGTTAAAGAAATTGGGATTTGGAATTACATTTTTACCAGAAAAAAAAAGACTAATTGAGCTACTTCTTTAAATTTAAATTTATTTATGAATACACAAGAGCAATAACACGTTCTATTACAAAGAAATATCTAATGCCTATAATACTGTAATTACTTTATACAGTATGTTCCCGGATTGAGTTCACAGGAGCAAAAAAACTGTATTTTCTATTTTACAAAAAAATGACAAAGGAATAATATTTTTTGCTTAATTCAAAATAAATAAATCTATAATTAGAACTTTAATATTATCAGGATGTGTTCTTAAAATCGAAAAACCCGAAAGTAGCGTAGGACTTTTATATATTTAATTTTACAAAAAAATGTCAATGGGATAAAAAATGTTCCTTAAGTCAAACCAATTTCTACTTTTCGATTAAACCCCCACCCCTTTCAGCACGTAGTTCAATTCTAACCCGTAATTCTTTCCTCTTGTGAAAATTTTAATAATATTCACAGTTTGATAATGTATCACAATAGGTGCATAAGATAAGACCAACTTTCGCGAATGATGTACACTGTAAGAAAATTGAGGGTGGGTGGGCGGGGCTAGTATTTGCTAAGATAAGACTGAACAATATTAAAAGTAGTTACTAGAATGAAAAAGGGGTGGCAGCCGTTCAACTGCTTGCTTATAAAACACTGTGGAAAAAAAATTAATTGAGCTTCACCCACCCACCCACCCCTATTCCGCTTTGATTGGTCATTCTATTGGCTCTGAGATGTAGTTTGGAATGATAATGCTTGCTTATAAAAGATTCTGTAGGAAAAATCAATATTAGCCCCGCCCACCCACCCATTTTCTATTTTTTTTCTTCTGAAATAAGAAATGAATCTTATAACAAATAGTAGGTAAATATAACAAAAAAATCACGGTTAGCGCTTTTTTTTTCTTTTGTTAACATCCTAGGTTCTATTAATTCCCATTCCCAATCTACAGAACTATTAATATAATATATTTAACCTCGCCCGCCCACCCCTCCTTCTTTTCAGTAATTGATTATCTGGTTGAATGAAAGGTGGATCTTATACTAAATAGAAATAAAATCGTTAGAATGAGAATAGCGTGGGTGGGTGGAGCTAGTACCTGCTACGACAAGAGTGATTTTGGCAGATGACATATCGTCTGAGAAAATAATGGGCAGGTGGGCGGGGCTAATACTTGCTAAGATAAGAGTGATTTTGGCAGATGACATACCATCTGTAAAAATAATGGGCGGGTGGGCGGGGCTAGTATTTGCCAAGATAAGACTGAACAATACTAAGAGTAGTCACTAGAATGAAGAAAGGGAGGGAGCTGGGCAACTGCTTCCTTATAAGACGCTTTGAAAAAAAAGTAAACTGAGCTCCACCCACCCACCTTTATTCCGCTTTGATCCTTCATTTTATTGGCTCTGAAACCGAGTTTGGAATATTAGTGCTTGCTTATAAAAGATTCTGTAGGAAACATTAATATTAACCCCGCCCACCCACCCAGTTTTTATTTTTATCTTCTGAAATAAGAAATAAATCTGATAGCAAATAATAAATGTAATAAAAATTACGATTAACGCTTTTTTTTCTTTTTTCAGCATCCTACATAAGTTCTATTAATTCCCATTCCAACTCTACAGAATTAATAATATAATATATTTAACCCCGCCCACCCACCCCTCCTTCTTTCCAGTAATTCATTATCTGGTTGAATGAAAGTTGGATCTTATATTGAATAGTAATAAAATCGTTACCTGCCACAATAAGAGTGATTTTGGCAGATGGAATACCTTCTGAGAAAATAATGGGTGGGTGGGCGGGGCTAGTTCTTGCTAAGATAAGACTTTTTGGCAAATGATATATATACCCCGGAAGAAACATTGAACATTATTAGGAGTAGTCACTAGAATTAAAAGGTCTGGGCTACTTCGCCCAACTTCTTTCTCCATTTCACTGTCTTATTTTATTTACTGCAGTATGGGAATTGAATTCTGTTTTGACAAGCGGTAGAATATAAGATTTAAAAAAAATCAGGTTAGGTCAAACCAGCCTAGGTCACGCTACATCAACTTTTTTAAAAATTTTAGATTCAAGGTTGTCAAACAAGATTTAATTTTTATCTATATAACTCACGACTCACTGTAAGATAAAAATTATAAAACTCACAAATTTTTATTAAAATTATATTTATACTTAATATTTTTGTATTAAAATTTACGAAATAAGTTGAAAATGTACATGGAACAAAAAATCTTAAAATCCATGAAAATGTTATATGGAACAAATTAGCACTGAGCTGATTTATTTTCGTTTTGATTAATACATAATTTAAAACCATTTTGTTTAATAATAAGGAAATAATTTGCCGACACTGAAATAGTGCGCCATGTGCATTTTACAACGATTTTAATTTACTGCTTTTTAAAATGAAAATTGTGTCATCATATTTTACACCGCCTAAACGCAAAACCTTCCAGTCGAATCTCGAGCGTTCGGTCCCTCTAGAACGTTCCACCACCTCCACATAAAAACTCGAGCGCCGTGACGCTCCCATCAGACTTGAATAGACCTCAAGCGAGCCCTCAGTTCGAAAAATCTCAACAAATATGGCTTTGTGGATGTGGAACAACCCATTCCAATTCTCCCGGCCGTCTCGCCTCCTCGACCAACACTTCGGCGCCGTTCTCGAACCGGAAGATTTACTGTCGCCTCTGACCCCTCGAGTTCGGCGGTTTGCTGCGTTTTCCTTCTGAGTATCTGCGTCCGTGGAGGTCTGCACTTTCCCAACAGGACGTCGGCTCCACCGTGCGCTTCGACAAGGACAAATTCGAGGCGAATTTGGACGTGCAGCAGTTCAAGCCGGAGGAGATCACGGTGAAGGTGAGCGACGACACGGTCACTATCGAGGGAAAACATGAGGAGAAGCAGGACGAGCATGGGTACATTTCGAGGCATTTCGTGAGGAGGTATGTGGTGCCGAAGGGGCATGATATCAGGAAAGTGAAGTCTACGTTGTCTTCGGATGGGGTCCTCACCATCAGGGCACCCAAGATTGATAGCGTGAAAGAGGAGGAACGGAGTATTCG